ATAGCAACTCGAGGTTTGAATTTGTTCTTCAGTTCCCTGAGCTTAAGATATGCTGAGCGAGTTCAGCCCTTTTGATTTTCCGACTCCAACTCCTTGCACATTTCATTGTAATATTGTAATTATATTAGAATTGTAATAAACAATTATAGCAACTTCAAAATATGAACTAGCTGGGATTAACTCTAAAAATAATGCACAAACCTTCATTAAGAAATTAGCAAACTGTACTGGCATACATTTACCTAAGAACAAAACTCAAAAGGCACACAGTTAGACTCTACCAGCCGCTCCGTGGGAGAGGATGGGTCATTTCCTCCCGTGCAATTACCTGTGTCTCAAAACTTGCTGGAGGGTCAGCTATGGGTCAGTTCCGATTCAAGAGCACACAAGAACAACTGATGCCCCATTATGTCCTCAATGAAACATAACTCCAGAGGCATTCTGCTAGACCTTAACCACAGAGTCAATCTTTTCATGGCAGCTTAGGGGCTGAGAACAGCTGGGATAGCACTAAGGTGTAACAAAGATGGGGTCCTCACCGTCTCTGACACAAGAATGACTGCAAAGCAACAGCGATTCACGCGCTCATTGCACTGGCGGGGCCAGAGCACTGGTGGCCAGAACCACACAGCACAGGCACGCACTTCCCTTCAAGGCTGGTGTCACAGTAACGGAAGAGGCAGTCTCCGCGGAAAGAAAATGAATTTGGATTTCTAACTAACACTAGACCCAACCCCCAGTTCTACATGGATTAAAGCCAAAATAGTTTTAGATGAAAACAGGGAATTTCTTAAGATCTCAGAGCAGAATACATTATGACCAAGGGGGAAACAGGCCACAATGAGTGAGGTGGAGGTGGATGCGCTCCCAGGCTGGGACAAGGCAGATGTTGCCAGTCACAATGAGCAAAGTACAAGGATGTCACCTCCTGTCACCCTCACTTGCAGCCTTTTGCTAGAGAACTAAGAAAAATTCCAGCCAGGCTGCCCCGTGTGAGTACCAAGTGCCCCGGGTGAGGGTCGAGGTGAGGGACCGGCTGCCCTGGGTGAGGGCCCTGCTGCCCCGGGTGAGAGCCCAGCTGCCCCAGGGGAGGGTCCAGCTGCCCCGGGGGAGGACCCAGCTACCCCAGGTGAGGGCCCGGGGGAGGACCCAGCTGCTTCAGGTAAGGGCCCGGGGGAGGACCCAGCTGCCCCAGGGGAGGGCCCCGCTGCCCCAGGGGAGGGTCCAGCTGCCCCGGGGGAGGGTCCAGCTGCCCCGGGGGAGGGTCTGGCTGCATCTGTGTCTGTTGGAGCACTCAGCACTACTCTTTAGTACACAGAAAGGATTTTCTTTTCATTGATAACCCATGATTCTCAAAGGACAATTCTGACAAAATAGGAAAACCTTCCAATTATTCACACTAAAAGGCAGATATTCTGAGGTCTTTCCTCAAAGAACTACACACAGCTCGTTCCCAAAGAGAAATGAAATCGCTCAGGCCAGACCCCGTGGCGCCCGTCATCCATCAGCCGTTCCACAGCAGAAACAACGCTAAGCCCGCTTCTTCCGCAACGTTCATCAATGAAGTGGAAAGGATTCCACAACTTCCCACCGGGGAAGAAAGCACGCTTGTCTGCCGACACTGTGGATGGTCTGTGGCAAAGGTTACGCATGAGCGCATGCTAACATGTGGCCACCAAAATGGACGTACGGTGAGGGCCTGCCGGTGACCACCCACCAGAGAACTTCCCAGCAGGAGAAAGCACTTGGCCGCTGGGACCCCAGGCATGCCCACCTTGTTGAAGACCCAGATCTCGCCGTTGACGGTGGGCCGGGGCACCCCATGGCCGTTGTAGTGGAAGAGAACTCGTTCCTCCTTGGCGTTGCGGCGTAGAGACGTGCAAAGCTTCTTGACTTCATCCACGGTCGGGTCAAGGCTCTGCTTGTAGCGGGCCTGCAGAAGGAAGGGGCACATTTACAACGGAGTTATGGGAACACCTGGAATACCCCCTATGCTCTCCAAGTCTGAACTTACACCTGGTGACCCTAGACGAGGGACTCTACAGGAGTCCAGGAAATGCCACTAAGGGCTCACTTTAAGCTGTTTCTTTTCAGTGATGAGAACTTCACCTCCAGGTTTTTCTAACTGGAATAATGACTACTTTATAAGGTGACACACATTTTCTGAGACACAGGACACCCTGGGAAGAGATGCAAGCCCACGTGGCCCTTGGTCTTTCTTGCCATGGGCAGACTGAGGAGGAGCCGCTCTCTAGAAAAGGACATCGTAGGGTCAGCTCAATGTGAAGCGGGGCAGTGCCCACAAGACAGAATGCCACGAAAGCCAGAACTGCAGGCTCCCACAAAGAAATGATCATGACGGTGGTGCAGGCCAGGCGGTGGCCCTGTCTCACACATGCAGTGATCGTGTCAAAAAGTGCAACTGACACAAGGTCAACCTGAGGACACACACACACGAGCAACACAAGAAGCAACTGAGAAAAGGAGCGTACGAGGCAGCAAGCCCAAGGAGCTCCACAGAGACGTAGCACACAAGAGGCACAGAGACGCAAAGTGCTACTAAGCTATAGCCAAACACTCAAGAAAGAGCTCCTGGGCCCCGGGGCTTCGGGCCAGTCCCAGGGTCAAGTCCATAAAGCGAACGCCAGGGCCCTCCTTCAGTCAGGCGCGACTCTGGTGTCAATAGTTTATTTATGAGCAGCCATCTATGATACAAAGAAGAGTGAAACAACCAGAGACTAGGAAATAAGTTGTCTAAAGGATGACTGGGCACATGGACCCGTGTCCATTCACCCAGGACCGGAAGGACTAGATGGTGCCCAGCTACCAACGTTACACTGGTCTCCATACCAACATAAGGGCCCCGACTGAGGGGAAGGAAAATGGGGGGAATATTCAAGATCACACACACAAGACCAGACTTACTGGACCAGCAGAGACTGGGGGGGGACCCCAACACTGTAGCCCTCCAACACCTTCCACCCTGGAAGCAAACCCACTTGCAGGATGAGCCACGCAGACGAGAGGCTTCCGGAGGACACCACTGTGAGAACGTGCCGCACAGCCAGCCACACAGAACTGAAAAGACAGCATTGCCCAAGCCAAAGCTCAGAAGGCAGGAAGGGGCAGAAAAGGCAGGTGAGTAGAAACAGGGACCACAGGGAGGGAGTGGGGAGAGTGCTGTCACAGAGGGCATTGACACGAAATGTCAGAAAACAAATGTATACAGATTGTTAAATGGAAAATGAAGTTGTTCTGTAAACGTCCATCAAGATCACAATAACGTATAAAAAAATTATGAGGAAAAAACATCTTTTTCGAAAATATGATCTGAAATGCAGGAAAGCGATAATCTGGCTAACTAACAGAGCTCGTGGAGGGCACAGCACCACTGCAAACCGTGTGGATGGACAGACGGAGGTAGAACACGAGTCAGGGGAAGGAAGCAAACTGTCCCTCCGCCAGCTCCCTGACGAAAGGACTGTAGGAAGGTACCACGTGGACTGGCCACGCCACAGCGGTCAGGGTTACCTGCCCCGTGGCCCCTCTCCAGGTCTCAGTCACCCGTGCCTTCAGCTCCCTCCCTCAGCTCGCTGTCAGGATGACCTGCTGTCCGCCCGCCCAACTGAACAGAGCGCCAGGCCCCAATCCTGCAGTTTGACCTGGTGTGCCCTGTGTCTGACCCCACCCTCTCGGCCAGACAAGGCCCCGATCCCACTGAGGCCCACGCCCACATTCTGCTCACAGACCCCGTCCTCAGCCCTGTCCTCTTGTACTGACCTCCCTCCCCTGCCCATCCCACCAGCACTCAGGCACACTGCTGTCCTCCAACCAACAAAAGCCCACTCTGAACCCCAATTCCCCCAAAGTCCTCACTACAATTCTATGCCCACTGACAGTAACTTCCCAAATACACGTGCCCAAGCTCAGTACATTTGATTCAGTGGAGATGGTCTGGCTGAGAAACCTGTTCCCCGCTGACCAGGCGAGCTGAGCTGGCCGTCTAGCACGTATCCTCTTCCTGCCTCACGGAGCTGCGAGCTGACAGAAGAGCTCTGTCCTGTCAAGCGGCTCTGAGTGGCCGCATTCTCCTGCTGGAACCCCCAGACGAGCTCTCCTGTCTGGTGCTGTTCTCTCTCAGGAGCTGCCAACAGCGCTGTGTCCAGGACAGCACTTGGGGGAGACCACCAGAGACTGCTGGGGAGAGCCCACTGACCGATGTCCAGCCCTCAATTCACCAAAGTAACAGCATGGAAGGTCTCTCTCCCACTGAACACTGATGTTCACAGTAGCAAGAAAATGGAAACAGCGTAAAGATCCACCAACAAACAAATGGACTGAAAAACTGGCGCACTGGTGTGACGGAATACTATGCAGCACACAGGAGCAGTGATTTAGAATAATACTGTACAACGTGGGAGACGCTGGAGAGCATTACGTTGTGTGAACTAACTCAGTCTGATAGGACCATTACTGTGAAAGCAGAAAGATCAGTAGTAAGATGTGTACAAAACTCCAAAGGGGGAAGGGGACAGAAGAGGGGGCTGAAGGGGGAAGCGGGGATCATGAAGCTGCAGTTTGGTGGGCAGAGGCAGGGGGTGAAGGATTAGGAAAGATCCAGTGAGGACCTGAGAAGGTGAGGTAATGGTGGGCATGGACTAATGCGGATTAATTGTTTAAAACACCATGTATGGGACGATAATGTGAAACAATGTGAATAGAGGAATGCATGAAACACAATGAAATACAAGATATCGACATTCTGCACGCAAACCAACATAAACAGATAAAAAGGCGGCAGCTGCCCAGGCCTGAGCACAACAGGTGCTGGCACCCCCTCCCCGCTCTGCTCCCCCTCCACCGGTCTCCCTCCTCCTCCACCCCCACCACGCCCCCCGAGGATGCACTTGTGTTGCAGTCCAGGTTACACCCAGTTAAATTCACCTGTTTCAAGTGTTTTGATGATTTTCAACAAATGCATATAGTTCTGACAGGCCTCTCCAGACCCCCAAAACACCTAGCGCTCCGCTGCAGGTGGCCCCTCAGCCCTCGATTCTGACCACAGGGGGGTCCCCAGAGTTCTGCCTTCTTAGGAATCTTACACGGACTGAACCTACGCCTGGTTCAGCGGATCAGTGACACAGCTGATTCAAGCAGCAAAGGGATTCAGGTTGGCAGGGCTTCAGGCTAACCTCAAAATCCACAATGTAACACACACAACACAGAGACCGTGCATGTGAAAGAAAATCCATGAGAACAACGTGAAGGTCGAGAGCTGGGGAAGCCATGGCCACCACACTGCCCACACACTCTCCCAGACATTACTCCACATGCTGCCCACACACTGTCTACACACTGCCCCTATGCTGCCCACCCTCACTCCCAGACCTCATCCCCCACACTGCCGACATGCTGGCCCATACACTACCCACACACTGCCCACGTACTGTCCACACACTGCCCACCCTCAGAAGCCAATTCTGCCTTGTGTTTCTCCGTGAAGCTGCCGGCGGGCTTGAATCATGCTTCTCAGCCAAGTACTTAAATACTGCACCACCAGGTCTCCTAAAACGTAAGAGGAAATGGACGAGAAACCCAGACAAAGGCAGCTCCTGAGCCATCTGCCTGAGCTTCACGGCAGCAGAACTGGACATGCGGGCAGGTGCCCGGCGTGGGCAGAGGTCATCAGGTTGGAGGTCAGACTTTCGGTGGCTGCCACCCCAGGTACCAGCACTGGCAGGAACACACCAGCCAGCGGCCCATGGAGTGAGACAGGTCTTCTCTGGTTCACAGGACCACAGAGCAAGGGCAGCAGCCAGGACACAAGTGCAGAGGACGTGCCCGGGCCCAGGCCTGCCTGTGACCATCGCCTGAGAGCTCCCAATGGACTGGACAGGCCTGGGGCTGGGCACACGGGGGCCTCGGACAGAGGGATCGGAGCCAGACCCACACATGCTGCTTGGAATCTATTGAACTGTTTCCATGGTTACAGAATCGTGAGGGCTGGTCTCTAGTTGATCCAAGTCAGCTGCACATCGAGCTAACCTGGAAGGAGACGACGTGAACGGCTCGTGCCCGCTCCCAGCAACAAAGAGCGGCAAGAGCGGGCCTGTGACCACCGGCGGAGCAGACGGGATGCACCCGACGCTGGATTCTCCACCACACTGAATGACTCTGACAGCACTGGGGCACCAGGAAGTCAAGAACACCGGCTAAAATCAAGAAATCAATAAAAGGTGCATAAACACTGCCTCGAAACAACACAGCAGCAGCACTCAGGAGAGAGGCCACCAGCTCCGCTTCCGGCCGGGGATCATGCTTTGACTTGAGAAATTCTACACACGCTGTTACTCAGACCAGCTTTCTCCATTTCCTTTCTAAAGTGAAGCAAGTGCAGCCGATGCCAAGACGTGGCTGGATGGAAGCAGCGTGGCGAGCGGGAGACCCATGCAGGGCGCACCGGTGCCAGGCGCACGTGTGACCACATGCTCAGGAAACATCCGCTGCTGCTGGTTACAGATAAGGCAGACTGAAAATGACCTGTCCCTCCAACAGACGGTCATCACTGGGCCCCACGACCCCATTCCTGAGCATCTCCCCAAAGAAGTGACAAAAACTGCTCGCACAGGAAGGGTCATGGCCGCCCTCCTCACAGCAGTCAGAACAGGGCACCACAACACGCCCACAAAGGGGCCCAGGAGTGTCAGAACCGCAGTGTGCCACAGGAGGGGTGTGCAGTTGGCCGTCACCAGCAGCTCAGCACCGACACAGCCCAACACAGACCCCAGGCCACATGCTGCCTCTGTCCCCATGACACGTCTCGACAGGGTAAACCCACTGAAGGCGCCCCAAGGAGGGGCTGTGAGGAACTGGGGAGGTGAACCGGGGGTACCGTGCTGAACGAGTGTGGGATCTCCTTTAGGGGCAGGAACA